CGAGGACGCGCCGCTGCCGCCGTCGCTGTCGGTGAGGAGGGTGGGGCAAGGACGCGCCGCCGTCGCCGTCTTTCCGCCGCCGCTTCTTCGCCAGGTCCCGAGGATGCTGCCGCCGCTCGGCGTTGGGGCAGGCGGTGAGGAGAGCGCCGTCGGTGAGGAGGGCAGGGCGAGGACGCGCTGAGCACGAGCACGAGGACGCGCGCACCGCTCCACTCCAGAATCCGCGCCGCCGCCGCTGTACTCCCGCGTCGCCGCTCCAGATCCGCGCCGCCGCCGTCCTCCTCGCTCCGCCTTCTCGTCGCCGCCGAGAGATTCGCGGGGATGGCGCGCGCCTCCGTGGGCAACGATGGCGACCTGTACCGCTGCGCGCTCCGGCTCTATCGGGTGGGTGGGAGTGAAAGTAGGAGAGGGAAAAGGGAAAGTAGGGGAGAAAGGGGAAAGTGGGAGATAGAATAGGTTGGGGTGGTTGGTTTGGGATCCCCTGTAGTACCCTGCACTGTGAACGGTGTGGATTCGTTGTGTATCTATCCTACGTGACATACGAGGTAACGCAAATAAGGTGCTTGCACTGTGAATGGCCTTACAACCAACTCCTTCCACGTCCCTAACAAAAAAATCGTCTTTTCCTCCCCGTCACCGCCGCGTCGCCCGTGTATCAAAAGGTCACCGTAGGGATCCTAGCGGCAAGATTCTCCCGGATCCAAAACGGCGGCGGAGCATGGGCTGCAGCTTCAACGGCGCTGGCCGCGGCCACTGCAACACTTGCGACTGCCGAAAACGCGATGGCCCACGCTGTCACTGGCACGACGTTGGCCAAGTACACGCTCGCAACCCCAGCGTCCACGACGACGACGACATCGATCGATTACTTGGGCCTGCCGTCATCGACGGCTTCAACATGCCGGTGAGCTTTCAGCCTACAATAAACGGAGTTGCTAGAAATATGGCGCCATATGCTACTGTCGATTTTTTTTCAGCCACTTACACAGTAGTTACACCTCATTTACACCCCACTTACATATGTAATTAGTATGTAATTTTCGAATTTACATATGTAATTTTAGTACTTACATATGTAATTTTGAGACTTACATTGTAAATACACTAAAATTACATATGTAATTTAGGGACTTACAATATAAATACATGCCGACTATTTTTTGATGAAAAATATGGCGCCATAAATATAGCTACACCCACAATAAATTTAATCGATGAGTATTCGTTAGGCACATTTCAGCAACCATATAGACTATGCTTCAGGTACTCCAGCTCTAACACAAAAATCTCACACAGGTTACTCAGGGCACCAACCAAACAGACCCACATCCCTGCTCTCCCTGCTCTTGGCCTGCATATGCAGCTGGTATCGTACAATGCACTGATGGCATAGATGATGTAGGAGTAGGCGTTGCAGCATGGCAGTTGCACGCTTTCATGGCAACATGGTTAGTTGGTGAAATAAAAATTTTTAGGTGTTATATTGGATGTTTGAGGTTTTCGAACACGAATGAAAAAACTAATTTCATAACTTGCCTGGAAACCACGAGATGAATCTTTTTGAGTCTAATTAATGCGTCATTAGTACATGTGGGTTACTGTAGCACTTATATCTAATCATAGCCTAATTAGGCTCAAAAGGTTCGTCTCGTAATTTATATATAAACTGCGTAGTTAGTTTTTTCTTTTTATCTATATTTAATGCTCCAGATATGTATCAAAGATTCAATTAAAGATTCGATGTGATGTATATTTCTCCCGCATGCGTTCGAGTTTCCAACCAACAAACAGCTGCTGACATGACTTTATGAGCTTGGTCCTATGTTATCCATAGCTAGATCCATGAGACGATCGGTCTGTTTATGATATGACTTTACTAGCTTGGTCACCTTGTGGGTGTGTTCAGTTCAGAAAAAGTCACATTGCATATTTGATCGAATGTCGGAAAGGGTTTTCGAACACAAAATTATAATTTCATCATTATACATATCTTAACACAAAATTATAGAAAGTAGCCGAGCTATTTCAAAGTGTAATAAAATATTAAAAAAATCAAATGATGCAAAGAAATAGAGGTAGTTGCTAGTACTTCTTTCCTTCATCCACAGGCCCTGTTTAGTTCCCAAAAACTTTTTCCTAAAAACATCACATCGAATTTTTGGATACATGTATGGAGTATCAAATATAGATAAATTTAAAAACTAATTGTACAGTTAGGGGAGAAATCGCGAGACGAATCTTTTGAGCCTAATTAGTCCATGATTAGCCATAAGTGTTACAGTAACCCACATGTGCTAATGACGAATTAATTAGGCTCAAAAGACTCGTCTCGCGGTTTCCAGGCGAGTTATGAAATTAGTTTTTTCATTCGTGTCCGAAAACCCCTTCCGACATCCGGTCAAACGTCCGATATGACACCCAAAATTTTCCTTTTCGCGAACTAAACAGGCCCTATATAAAGTAATTTTGGAGTTAGCCATCGACATGATTTAACTTTGGTAGAGGGGATCACTAGAAGGGATACCATCATCTCAATCGGGCGGTAAACCCCATCGCAATCGGGCACGGTGTCCGTCACAGGTTAGAAGTCACAGATGTGAAGAGTTATCTCAATCAGGCAAACGGCCGTCACGGATGAATCTATCTCAATCGGGCCCTAATTAAAGCCCGTCACCGATAGCTTTGACCCAGACAACCAGTCAAACTATAGCCCGTCACGGATGACCTATCTCAATCGGGCCACAACTAGCGCCCGTCATAGATGACCCTTCACAACTATAGCCCGTCATAGATGACTCATCTGTGACGGGCATCAACTATAGCCCGTCACAGATGAGTCATCTGTGACGGGCATTAACTATAGCCATAGTTAATGCCCGTCACAGATGAGTATAATCAAAAATAAATAAATTTTATTTTTTGGCTAGCCCTGCCCTCACTCGTGTACACCCAGGCGGGAAGTTCAAACTTCCCGATCGGTCACCCATCTCGAAATTGCTCCAGACCAAACACGCTTAACATCAAAGTTCTTTGGAGATTGGCTTTCGGAAAAATAGTTGTAACATGTTGGCATGAGTATTCTATTAATCTTATTAAGCCCTAGGACAGGATATCAAATTGGGGTTATTAAATGATTTCAAATGGAAAAGTCACCAAAACCAAAGTTGTAGAACTCATCGAGGTACAAAATTTTTATTTTGGTCATTTCTCCAAAACCAAAGTTGTAGAACTCATCGAGGTACAGAATTTTAGATCAGTGAACGACTTCAACTGAAAAAGTCATCAACAACAAAGTTGTATAACTCATCAAGATCTATAACTTTTATTTTGGTCATTTTTCTATATAACATTTTTTGTACCTTTTGAATTTGAATTTGAAAATATGACAACTTCAATCAACATTTTCAAATATTAAATGATATCAACTGAAAAAGTCATCAACAACAAAGTTGAATAACTCATCAAGATCTAAAACTTTTATTTTGGTCATTTCTTCATACGACAAAGTGATAGTAATATTGTTCACAAAATTGACATATCTCTTATCTGGTTTTATAAACATAACACATATATGTAAAATTTATGAATAATATTACTAACATTTTATCGGATAAAGAAATAACAAAAATAAAAGTTTTAGATCTTGATGAGTTATTCAACTTTGTTGTTGATGACTTTTTCAATTGAAATCATTTAGTATTTAAAAATGTTGTTTGAAGTTGTCATATTTTCAAATTCAAATTCAAACTGTTCAAATAAATGTTATATAGAAAAATGACCAAACTAAAAGTTGTAAATCTTGATAAGTTATACAACTTTGTTGTTGATATTTTTTCCATTTGAAATCATTTACTACCCGTAAAATTATTTTGACTCATAAAATAAATTATTATATTGCACTTAATTATTTTGCTATAGTCAACTTATAAATATAAACATTTCATATGAAAAATGGAAAAATAGTCATCGGTGACGGGCTTTAGTTAATGCCCGATAGAGATTAAGTATATAGCCCGTCACTGATGAGTCATCTGTGACGGGCCTAGTTGTTATCTCAAACGGGCCTCGGATGATGGTCATCTGTGACGTGCCACAACTTGAGGCCCGTTTGAGATATGGAATGTTATCTCAATCGGGCCTAAAGTTAGTGCCCGTCACAGATGATGGTCATCTGTGACGGGCTGTAACTTTAGGCCCATTTGAGATATGGAATGTTATCTCAATCGGGCCTAAATTATGGCCCGTCACTGATAGGTGTCATCCGTGACGGGCTTAAGTTTTATACCCATCTAACATGTATGTGCGACCATATCTTAATCGGGCACTTTTCGGCCCGATTGAGATGACTTCCTTGTGACGGTCCGCTATTTCTAAGCATATTAGAGCCCGTCACAGATAGAAGGATCTGTACGAGTGGATGCTCAGCAACCTGGTAAAAAAATAGCTATAGTTATATATTTCCAATATATACACACCCCTCAATCCAAGTAAACTCGTACTCAAATCATCCTAAATCTAAATTAGTAGAGTAAAATAAACGGATAGCACCTCTCTCTCCATTTTGGTCTATCTCCGTCGCTAACTTTGGAAAACCACCTGCCTGTTGTTTCGCATGACCAGCTGGTGAGGAGCTGCGAACCACGTTTTCCACGTACGTAAGCGTACGTGATGTAACACCACATGCCAGTGCGTTGCGTCACTTCCTTATACGTCAGCCAAACCACCAAGCATCGTCAGATATGTTTTGTAGTAGTATAATGATATATTTTGACTTTGGCCGGGTTTAGTTTCAAACTTTTTCTTCAAATTTCTAACTATTTCATCACATCAAAACTTTCCTACACACATAAACTTTTAACTTTTCCATCACATCGTTTCAATTTCAACCAAACTTCCAATTTTAGCGTGAACTAAACATACCCTTTGAATTATATTCGGGCCGTGCGTTATAACGGTTGTTTTAAGAGAAAAAAAACTATACAAGTTTTTAGCACGGCAAATTAATTATATTTGTCTCGAAGTTTAATACATAACTTACATCGAAGTTTAATACATAACTTACACCATAGTTATATAGACAATGCACAGAACCTAATAACGTTATAGCACGTTATGAATAAAAACATGCATTTTGAAGATTTATTTGGCATAGATAGGGATGTAAATTAAGCAGGTTGATCGATCCCAAATACTAATACGTGCGGTACCAAATCATTTTCGATCGTTGGATATATTAATATCCATCATGTCCAACTAGATCCAATGATAAAAAACAATTTGATACCGTGACATACGGTATTTTTGTTGGACCTTAGCAAATCTCAAATTAAGCAGGTCGATCACAAGGTGCGGTCGTCGTCAGCAGGCGCCACGGCGGAAGCCGACGGAGCCGCCGCCGACGTCGTAGAGCACCTCGTGCGTCTGCTGCTGCACGTTCCCGATGAAGCCGAGCGCGAAGTCTCCCGGCGTCGGCACGAACGCGAGGCACCCCTCCACCATGACTCCCATCGCGTCCAGCCTCACCACCGCGCCGCCGTCGAACACCAGCGACACCGCCGGCACCGTCACGCTCGTGAACCGGACGAAGTCGTAGCAGGTGTCCAGCCCGGCCCTCCCTCCCGCCACCCGCGGGTACGCCGCCATGGCGCTCCGGAACGCCAGCCGCAGCGCCCTGTACGCCGTCGGCGGCAGCTGCGTGATGATCACGCTCGAGTCCATCACCGCGCCGCCGGCGAACACCACCGGCGGCACGTTCAGCCGCCGCCCGCCGACCTCGATGCCCCTGAGGCGAACCAGGTACAGCGTCGGGATGATGCTCGGGTTACGCACCAGCGGCGTCCTCGCGAACCTCCCCGCGCCGCCGCCGTCGGCCGGGCCGCCGAGCGAGAGGAAGCCGGAGGAGCTCGGGTCCGGGACGCAGTAGGAGAACGCGTTCCCGAACGTCGCCGCCGTCTGCGACAGGAGCGACTGGCGGCCGCCGCCGAGCGACATGGTGCCGGAGGTGGAGGCGCTGAAGTTGCCGCGCACGGCGTGGCTGCAGCCGAAGCGGAAGTTCATGACGACGGTGCTCGGGTTGAGCGTGAGGGCGTCCACCATGTACGTCCCCGAGGTGGCCCTGCCGTCGCCGTAGTCGACGAAGTACTGGCACTGGTTGTTGGAGCAACCAGCGCCGTAGCGGCCGAGCTCGCCGCAGGCGGCGGAGCCGCACGGCACGGCGGCGGAGGTCCTCGACCTCCTCGGGTCAAACAAGGCGTTCTGCTGCGGGTAGCACTCCGGCATGGGGCACGGCGCGCACTGGATCCATGGCAGGTCGATGCTGGTGTCGATGGACATCGGCTGCGCCAGGATGGGGTCGTCGATCGCCGACGGGCGGCTGATTCTTGACGACGACGACGACGACGAGCCCGATCTGCCACCGGTGCCGATGCCGAAGCTCGCCTGCATCTTGTAGTCCGACTGCTGCACGTCGACGATCGGCTTGTCCGGCTCAAGCACGACGTCGCCGCCGGCGGTGGCCTTCCTCCGGATGGCGTCGGTGTGGAGCTTGTCCCAGCGTAGCATGTCGACCAACAACGGCGGCGAGGTTGTCGTCGGCGACGGCGAGCACGGGCCGTAGGGGCGGTGCAGCGCCACCCACGTGCCATTGCTGGATGGCATTGCTGCACGCATGTACTCATGTACACGTATTAGGCGTACATTAAGCAAGCCTAAATTAATCAGCAGTTAATTAGTAAGTAATTACTGCAGAATTACGTTAACACATTACCCTTGAGACCGGAGCAGATGGCTTTGGGCTTCAACAAGGAGCTGGTTTCCACGACAATGTAGTGCTCGCGATTCTCAGCTCCTCCATCACCATGGCCATGGCCATGAGAGCCCATGGACGAGAGGATGAAGATGTGGAGTAGTAGTAGCGGCAAGACACTTGTCGTCATGGTAAACGAAGTTAATTTTAGGCACTAGGCTGGCAATGCATAAAGGATAGATGATCCATCGGCTTATAGAGAAACTTTTTATGATGATGATAGTAATAGCTTGATATTGTTGGCCACACACACAGACACATACGTGTCTCACATCCGTGGTCCACTGAGCTTTGGGCTTACACCATCCTGAGTGTGCACAAGCACTAGATATTGTGGGTTTGCGGCCACACGCACATACGTGCCTCACATCCGTGGTCCACTGGGCTTTGGGCTTACACCACCCTAAGTGTGCACAAGCACTAGATATTGTGGGCTTGCGGCCCCACACACAGGCACATACGGGCCTCACACCCGCGGTCCACTGACCGTGGCCTCACACCACCCTGAGTGTACACGGGAGACGTTGGCCCATCCGGGAGAAAGCCTTGCTACGCCCCAAAAGCTAGCTCAAGATGTGAGGAACTCCCCCCACTTTTAAGTTGGTTTAACTCCCCCTGAATTAGCAATATAGGACTATTCCCAACATATATATATATAGACCCTAATGGAACTTTATAGGTAACAAGAAGCAGCCATTCCAAAGCTCTATAAGATGTTAATTAGTTACATATATCTATCTATGGTGATTATCAATGTCCAATAAAAAAAACAATGTGTACATAGAGCGAGTACAATTTTTTAATAGATCTTGGTAGGTACTAATAGGAAGTATGTATAGTCAAGTATTCTCTACAAGTACACAGCATTGGAACCATCTGATACAATGGTAATACTTTTGCCCAGTTCACAAGCAGAATTCTTTCTTACAACATGCATATATATATTTGCCAATCCAAAAAGGCTCCAATTGACAAACTACCATCCAATATGCAAAAGGATCTAATTGCTCTTATATATGCCACCGAGATGAACATATATAACTCTATTTCTTTCTAGCTAGCTCCCTGTTATCCTTGAAAGGGTACTTTGCAGATACCTTATTTTCTAATATAAAATTTGATATCTCATGGTAGTAGGTATCTTAAAGTATCAAAATTTTTAATGTAAAATTTAAATATCTCAAGATAATTTCTCAATAACCTAAAATTTCTTTTATCTTTTAGGCCGAGTTTAGTTCTAAACTTTTTTTTCAAACTTCCAACTTTTCCATCACATCAAAACTTTCCTACACACATAAACTTCCAACTTTTCCGTCACATCGTTTCAATTTCAACCAAACTTTCAATTTTGGCGTGAACTAAACACATTCTTAGTCCCCGACAACCGCAGAAGACATATGCGGACCCCCAATAGTGAATGCACTTAGCTCCCTAGCTCTCGTGGAGGGGACAGACATTGATGACCTCTCCTAGGTTCTTCCCCACCGAGACATATGCAGGGAAGAGGATGACTGATGAAAAAAAATAAAAAAACAAATCAAGCACCATCAAATAAATCATATCGAACCTAAGACCAACCAACGTCCGTTTCATATTACAAGTCATTCGACTTTTTTCCTAAGCCTAACCAAATTTATAGAAAAATCTAACAACTTCTAAAATATCTAATTAGTTTTATTAATTTTAACATTGAATATATTGTTTTGTATTCAAAATTCTACTATATTTTCCTATAGATTTGGTCAAATTAAAAGAAGTTTGACTTAAAAAACCAAACGACTTATAATATGATTCGAGGGAGTACAATATTGTCGCAATGCAGAATGAAAAGGAGAGTCATAGCCTCATAGACAAAGATAGGCCACCAACGAGCAAGATGAGGAGCACGAGGGGATCGAGAGAAGGTCATCACGGCTTCCCCTTTTCAAGTCGCGGAAGCCATTGAAGGCTTAAGGCTAGCACTGCGAGTATCGAACTTGCACTTGGTGGCTCTCAATGTTACTGGAGTACTTACTTGTGACATAAGAGTATAATAAGACAAAACGTCAAGGCAAATATCAACGCATTTATCCAAAATCTATCAAGTTCATTTTTCTTTTCGTAAGAACGAACGCAAGTTCTGTTGTGCTAGTAATTTAAATGAGCAGTCATTATATACCAACTGAGGTAGCATATCATTATTGCTAATTAGTTTTATATTAATGACTCAGGGGGCTTGGTCTATCATGCGTAGACCATGGTCAGCTATATATATATATATATATATATATATATATATATATATATATATATATATATGTATATGTAAGATCAAAGTGTGTTTTTGATTCTTATTCTGTGATGAATAATTGGTATCTGTGATTATTGATTTTGATATTTGTGTCGGTTTCGGTTTCGGGTTGTTTCTTTGGATATCCGAGTTTGTTTCATGTTTATGGTTTCTAGATGGATACTATACGTATGTGATACTGTTGTTTGCTAACAATGAGTCAAGTTGGTGATAGCTTGGTCTCGAAATATGATTTCTTTGTTTGATTCATGTGTAGGTGACTCGATGCCTCGGGATAGTATTTGCGGTGATGGACCGGGAGTCGGCTTGGTGGTAAGACGATGTCCGTGGTGGTCAGATATCATGCGGGATACTTAGGCTAGAGTTGATGCACGTGGTTGGTGAAGATTCCATATGGCATACGATGGAGGTATTGTGTGCGTATGGGATGCGGAGTCGAATTTGGAAGGAGTCCAAATTTGATATGATTGGTTATGTAAAGTTTGTTTCTTATACGAGAAGGTTTCCTAGGTGGTTTAGGGCTTCTAGTATGAGTTTGGTTCGTGGCTTTAGGCTGCCTACCTCATGTATAAATAGAGGGGGAGCGTGAGGCTTCCCGGTATCTCTTTTGTGTCGTTTTTCAGAGCGTTGTGTTGATAGTTTAGTTAGGGTTTCGAGTTTAGTCGAAATTTTGTAAGGAGTGTTGTTGGTGCACTTTGTAAACACAGAGAGAAGTAATAAAGTTGTCATTTACTTCGAGAGTTCTTCGATTTGTGTTTTCTCGGGTGCGGCGGTCCAACCGGCGAAACATCACCGGTCAGACCGACGCAATCGGACCGGTCAGACCAATGGAGGAGCGGCGGTCAGACCGGCGGAGGCGTCGACAAGCAGAGGCAACTTCGAGACGGTTAGACCGGGCGATCTACACCAGTCATACCAGTGGCACAGGCACGGTCAGACCGGCGAGTCAACCTTGGTCAGACCGATCTTCATCGAATTTGAGAGTAACTTTTATTTCCGCTAAAAGTTTTGGGTTTTTGGGTATACCAATCATTCACCCCCCTCTGATTGGCTTAGTTCTTTTATTTCGATCCTACAATATAAATATATCTGCCCCACCCTCCTGCAAGCTTGCACGTTACATCACCCATCTTTTATCAACTTTTTTTTTAATACCACTAGGGTAATTCACTCTTTTTAATACCGCACTGGTGTCGTAGGAGAACCGTATCCTCTGACATTATACAGTAATGTCACGGTGTGACATTCATTCAATCCACACCATCCATTCTAAGTCAACGGCAGTAGATTATTTGACATGCAATTAATCAAACTAATTAGTAGATTGTGTAGTTATAATTGTCCCTAGATCAGATATTGCATTTTCACGAGGCAAACATCGTTGACCGGTGGAAGAATCAGCATATAAGGGCATTCCGAACCCAATGACTAGGATGGTGTCTATAGCATTAAATAAGTTGCCACCTAGGACAAAAAATGATGTGGCAAGTGAATAAATGAGGAAAGAGAAGGAAACCATGTCTTGCATGAGACATGGTTTCTACACAACATCCAAGACACCATGTGAGATAAGTAGCATTAAATTAAAATATGGAATAGTGGTGTTTGCATTGGAAGAGTAGTGTCTAGTACTAGTTTCTTGATGATGTGGAGTTTATGGAAACCATGTCTAGTGTTATGGGTTGGAACTGCCCTAATAATAATTATGTTTCACTTACTTGTTAGATGCAGCGATTAGCACATTATCTTGGAGGAAGTGAATCATGTGCATCAATTTTGTGCTGCCATCCTCCGTCAAAACGGGGCAATTGTGAATCTACAAGCCAATGGGTTAATGTTTAATGAAGATGAAGAGACTGCTTTAGTGTTAACAAAAAAAATCCTTAATTCCCACCTATTAAGTACATATACCTACATAATCTGCTAGTTAGTTTGATTAGTTAGATGCCAATTAGTCTGTGGCCGTTGATTTAGAATGGATGGTGTGGATTGAAGGAATGTCACGGAGTGGCATTACTGTATAATGTCAGAGGATACGGTTCCGAGTAGACTTACGAAATATAGATAAGAAAAGAATTACTCATCCCATAATTAATATCCAATACAATTGAATTTCTTAAATAACGAGACCGTGAAGTGGATTTTATACCCTCAAGGACAAATTAATGATCTCGTCTGTTGTATGTAGATCAAGAGTTGTGATAATTTTTCTTTTTAAAAAAATAGATGACATATATTATTATGTCGCATGTCACTCCGTAATCATACAAGATTAAATATAGTTGGCTTAGCCTACAATTATCCTTGCTCTACGACGATCTTTGTGGAGTGCATAACATTTTCGTGGATCACGTTGTGTTTAATGTGTTTGATTGACTCATGGACTCCTGGTATCCGGCAACAGCAAAACTTTCAATTCCTGTGGTGCTTGCATGCAGTTGCAGGGCCAGATCCTTAATTAGGCCCCAATATCTTTAGCTACCTACCAACAAAATGCTGCTACAGCATGACTAAGTAGTAAGGCCGTGTTTAGGTGGTGTTTAGATCCAGGGACTTAACTTTAGTCCCTGTCTTTAGACACTAATTTAGAGTATTAAATATAAACTACTTACAAAACTAGTTACATAAATAAAAGCTAATTCACGAGACAAATTTTTTAAGACTAATTAATCTATAATTAGAGAATGTTTACTGTAGCATCACATAGGCTAATCATGGATTAATTAGGCTCATTAGATTCGTCTCGCAAATTAATCCAAGATTATGGATGGGTTTTATTAATAGTCTACGTTTAATATTTATAATTAATTTTCAAACATCCGATGTGATAGGGACTTAAAAGTTTTAGTCCCATCTAAACAGGGCCTTAGATCTAGCTTGAAAAAGTTTGGCGTGTCACATCGAATATACAGACACATATTTGAAGTATTAAACGTAGGCCTTGGTCGTGTTTAGTTCCTTTTCAATTTTTTTTATCTATACGGACACACATT